CATATGTTATTTATATGTTTGATGTTCTATATGGTGGAAGGTGATGTAATACTTTCTAAGAAAGAACGTAAGTAAATTTTTTATTTTTTTGCATATAATTACGAACTACAAAATTAATATGTTTCTAGAATCTTAGGTGTAAAAATATAGCTACAATTTAAACGCATAGAATTGGAGTGGTTGTTATGAAACAGTTATCAGTTCATATTATTCGTTATTAAAAAACTGTGCTTATATAGTTTTTAGATTTTTTGGTTACACGATTAATTACTTGTATGCAATTTACGATTGTCAGCTATAAAAGTTGAACATTATATAAATATTGAACTTCAAAATAACATTTACAGTATCAATTTGATAAATTTGAAATTTATTTAATTATAAAACAAAATCGAACACTTGTAATATTAATCTTTTTCAACTGATATTGTGACAATATATCAGGAATCTTTGATTATATTTTCATGCTTTTTGACAAAAAAAAAAAATAAAATATATTGACATTTGTAGCAGAAAATATTAAAGAAAATTTGAAAATTGAAAATCTCCGTAGTATTTGTGTATGTTCACAGTTCGTTTTTCCACGGTAAGCGGGAATATTTCACTCAGACGACTCAAAATAATTAACGTATCATACAATACAGTAATTTCACACTCAATGTTCACCTATTCACCAATTACAAAAAAATATTTACCATGTACACTAGGTTAGATTTAAATTTTTTTGTCAACTTTACTGAATAAATACTTTCAAGTAAAGTAGTAAACACAAAAATTATTACAAACATTACTTTTATTGTTATAAATTAAATCTAAATTATATTTATACAAGTTTTCTTACTTCTCTAGTCAAAGGTACATATTCCATCATACGATCATGTATTAATATACAATAAGTATATCCAGTTACACCTGTAAAAGATTCCGATGCTTTTATTTCCAATTGAATATCCACAGCTTTGGCAGTGAAGTATCAGATCCTTTACAGGTGTAACTGCTTATTGTTTATTAACTCATGATCGTATCGTTGAATACGTACCTTTTTGCTAGAGAAGTAAGAAAACTCGTGTTAATATAATTTGTTTTACTTTTACTGCCCCCAAAAGGTGACGAGAGACACACACAAAAAAAACCACATAATTGTGAAATCAATACATTCATCGCTCCGCTCAGAATCTAAAATGGTCTTTTCGAACACTTATAAAGTGTGTTTTCAAATGGGCACGATACGTTTGTTTGCAGTAATGAATTTCTTTTAGATGTCAACTACCTTGTATCATATGATATACTAACCTTTAAATTATTTAGAATTTGATCGCGCAGTCAAATGCTTGAGTAAGTAATTTTATTTTACTTTGCACTATACACATTGTTCACATAAATACATTGAGTTTCGCTCAAAGCGATGTCTTGTCTACTGCATAATTGTAACTAATATGAATATGTTGAAACGAGTAATATTTATTCAATTTATATGACATGTACATTTGGTCTCTATCAGCTATGTGTGTATAAAGTATAAACAATAATGAGTAAACTGCAGGAACAAAATAATGACCTGAAATCTGTGTATATCTTTTTTTTTTATGAAAAATGTTTTACAATAGTGTTGTCTATAGAATCGTTATGTACAACCAGAAAAGTTATAATGTTTCTTTCTTTCATCGTTTATTCATCAATATTATTGAACATCAAAGCTGAAAAAAGATGTATATTCCAAACGCTGAAGTCGTTTTCTAACTTTAATCTTAAAACGTACACATCTCTAAATAATGTTCAAATACTGTATAAGTATTTATGTTTTAAGCATATTTATACCGTTGTATGTAGTGTACGTCAAATTGTGTACTTGACTGCACTCAAAAACATTGGCTTAAGTTTACTACCGGTGAAATAAACAGGTTTCATTTTGTAAACATTTTTTTTTTGGTATTACTAATTACATATTTAAATAATAATTTTTCCGAAATAAAATTGTATCTCTATTATTTTTAAACTTAAAAATCTTAAACTATTCACTATCCATAAAAATTATACATATATATTTCATATAATTTTTATTCTTTTATAAAATATTATTGTTCAGAATATTCATGAGCATTTGATGTACGATAATTTGGTGCAGGTAAACTGACAATGCACAAATGATACGCCGCAATTTGTATTGTACACTGTCGTCGACAGTATACGCGTACTAATTATTGGCGTTTGAAAAAAGATTAAATATGGGTAAAATTAATAACTGTACCTAGAAAAAGTTTTTCTTTAATGCTGGTTTACCCTCAAAAGTTATCAAATATTGATATTTGATCTATTTGTATGATATATTTGGAGGTTCATTAGCGTTCATCGTTCTTCGCTGTTAAAAATAATATTCACTATAATAGAACACTGTATACATTGTAGCTACGGCTTGTTACAAAAATAAGTATATTAATTATTGAATAATATTGAAATTTTTTCTGGAACTCGAACATTTTTTATACAAATAATCGTTACCGCCATTGTGGTTGATTGTCGTTCCCTGAACCAAATCATTTTAGGTACCCACTGAAACACAAAAAAAATGTAATCAATCTAGGCTCAAAAGTTAAGAAGTTAAGTATACAAGTATAAACAGATAGAAGAATTATGTATTATATAAAGATGATTTTCGATGTTATTTATGATTTTTATAGAACAAATGTTTGATATCGACGTTATAAAAGTAAACCCAAGTATGTTCATTTTTTCAGTAGTAATTATGCACAAATATAGTGTCATTGCACAATTTAAAAATTATTATATGAATTATTTTGTCATTAGGTTGGCATGCATGTAGCTTATAAGATTGACTTATAAGAATAGAAACAATAATAATTATTCTTTTAATAGATGTTGACTTACCAAATTCTTCTACTGGCGGAACGAATCATGTCCGTATGTATTCATAACTATTGTTATTTTTATTGTTGTATTTAATTTTTTTATAATGTACCTATACTGTTTTTATCGATTATTAAATATATTACAGTACCTAGATAATAAAAATAGTAACAAGTTACATGCATTAATTATTTAATCAAATATGAATTAATGATAACACTCAGAGCGGTCTACATCTAGTTGGTAAGTGCTGTCTGTGTCTGTACACCAAGATGGTAATAAAATATGTAGGTACTATAAAACGTAGCATAAAAGATAATCTTGTTCATTGTCTTTAAAATTAACATGTACCATTTTTTAGGCTTTTTTCTTGGAATAAATGGCAAGATGAAATGAGTTTATTTTCTAGTTCTCAGTTTTATTTTGTTATGCCAGTAGTGTTTATTGCTTGATATTCAGTTCTTCATACTTGTTCTAATATATTGATGAACTATTAATTGGTATTTGTGTTGGCTTATTGTACATACCACACTCGTTATTACAATTTAAAAATATGTACAGTATACGTTTTACTCATGTAAATCGACTGTCCAAAATAATACTAATAATTTTAACCGATTTTTTTATGCTTCTATCACAAATAATGGCAATCGCGTAATGTTCCATTAACTATTTCGGAAGCCTAGTTGAATATCATAGGCCTACCTACCTAGCATCAGCTAGAGACATCTAGCAGTTATTGTGATTTTTACACTTTATGTAACTCGAATGAAATATTTTGTTTTGATATTCTGTCCATAAGGGAAAATCGAGTGTCATCATTTATCACACCAGGCTAAACGAATAATTAAAAAATTATTATCTAGTTTATGTTGTAACTAAGTACACACGTGTGTAGTTAACTAGATTAACTTTTAAAAACAGTAACATATTGCGATTTATGTGTAATGTAATTAATCTTTTGACAGCTATTGTCTTGGGAACTTATTATACATTTGATTCCGCAATAGAGAAATTCTGTAAGTACCTATACATTACTATTGTCATTCATATTGTTATATTTGATATACTACATCTCCATGAAATTGAGATTTCATAAATTGAAAGCAGATCGCTAAATTGTATTCTTGCAAAGTAATTTAAAAAAAAATTAAACTTTAAAAAATATTTTTAACCACATCATTGGTTTATACCAGTGGTTTTCAAACTTTTATTATACACGGCATACCGTTCACTTCAAAACATTTTCAAAGCACATTGACCTTTTTTTTAGATGAACAAATGCAGTCGATAATTTATGGTAAAACCGAGGCACACTTAGTACCCAGATACTCGCGGCACCCAGTTTAAAAACCACTGGTTCATACTATTAAGACATTATACACAGTCCTAACTCTATTGAAATGGAAATCAAAATGTTAGTATACATAGTAGTACGCAGTATGTCAGTATATTGCTAAGCAAAAAATACTATGGATCCTACCAGTGCAGTAGGTATCTAAAATAATTTAGGGCCTAACTGTCCTAACTAGTATATGTAGTAATTTTAAGTCTACGATCTAACTTAGATGCAGCTATTGATTTATGATCCATACCTAACTTAATTTTTCTTTTAAATTTTCTCTTAATTGAATATATGTACTATATCCGTCTCTTAAGGATTGCCAATATAGAAATGCTTTACGGGACTACGGCTTGGCCTTTGTGAAATGAATTGTTTGTTGAGGTTTAAAGTTGTCGTGTATATAGAAATGTCCATTATTGAAAATTTTCATATTTTTTTAGCAAGATACAATGAAAAATTTGCTAAACTAATCATTTTAAAATTATTGTACATATATATATTGTAATTACGTACACAAAAGTGTAAATATTAAAACAATAACAAACTGAGATTTATCCATCTATTTTTCTATATCGTTATCTCGTAATCTTTAAAACTACTCGTCCGATTCCCTTGAAATTCAACACAGATATTCGGCCAGATCAGGGGAAGGTCACCGGCCACAGGAAGTAATGTTACAAGTTTGTTATTACTAAGGGCGAGCTCAAACGGATTAATATTCAATGTACATAATAAAGTATATAATCTATATAAATGAAAATGAAACTTATTGTTTTGTATAAAAAAAAGGAAAATACTAATGGTGGAGATCTCTAACGGATTAAAATTCAAAAAACACGAACGATATAAATCCATGTAGATAAATATGAATGTCGCGGTTGAGATGTGTAGCATTCGGATCCACGGTTGATCAATTTCACCGTAATAATAATACATTGGTCTAACAATAACTGCAGGTCAATAAATATAAATTAACAATTTCATAGCTAATCGACAGATGGCTCTGGCGTAGACCAGGCTAGTTTGTAATATAATTTTTCTTTTTACAGATAGAGCTTATGCACCACAAAACGATATTGAAGACGTAATGAATACATTTTGTAAGTCTACATAACTAGTTGACTATTTATATTGTTATATCCAAATATGTCACAATAGATACTGCGCTTATAAATGATTAAATAAACTACAATAGGTAATACAAATAAAAATACGCATTCATTTGTGACGGTTTGGCCCTAGGAAATAACCACATACCACATAAGGGGAACACTAGAATTATTTAAAGGATACGTAACGATAGTTATTATAGAAAATAGTATTTTTATTCGTATTTTATTTGATAAAAAACGTAATAATATAACACACAAGTTATAACATTATAGAATACGTAATTATAGTGAAGAACTGCCGTCGCTTCAAGTGAAATATTTTAGTTAGATATTCGATTCATTATTGAATATTAAGTGTACTGTCTTAAGTGTATACTCCATCGCAACATGCTAAATTAATAATTTAAATACAATTATGTATAATAATATTGTAACTACGTACACAAGTATGTGTAGTTGATTGGACTGCAATTTATAAACAGTTACAAACTGTGATGCTTAGTAACATTTATCTTTTTATAGATGGACGTTTAGAAAATGAATTTTACAACATATTAGCAAACCTTTGTAAGTAAACATTATTAGTCATTTATAGCATTATTTTTAAATACATTATAATGAAATCTGTGCTTTTAGATGGTTAAAATATATATTATTTATATTATTGTTCTATTTCTTACTAATGTAACGTTTGTGTGAAATTTCGTTCCTACGTAGAATATATCAATATGAGTTTCTAGTGAATTGTCTGTATCTTTTTTGTGATAGGGTGATTGTTGTATTTCATTGTTCTAGCTATGTATTTAAGATATTATGTTTCAGTACTTTTTATATCAGTTATAGGTTCAATAGCTACGCTTATATGACACAGATTTGACTGCTACGGGATACTTCTAGAGCTGGTCTTAATCCTCTCTAGTTGTTGATGCCATTTATTGGTTTTAGTGCAGAATAAGAAGTTGACGTCTATAGGATTCATCCATACCTTAATTTCGAGTTTGTAATTAATTTGTGAAACTTGATTGCTATCTTCGATGCACTTGCTCATGATGTGTGTGATCATAATTGTTGTACCCCTAGCTATTAATCTATTATCCAAAGTAACCACCAATAGTTTAAACAGATTTTTCGTTGCCATTAAATTATGTTTATCTGATACAGGTGATATTAAATTATGGTCAATAACTAAATTTATCTTTTAAATCCACTGTAAATTCATTTGGAATCTGAGTTGAATATTATTGATCTATCGAGAGATACAGCAAAAATTGTGAACTTAACACTCAATAAATTGAGTGAAATCCATTTTTGTTAAATATTCGATCCGTTATTGACAATTGAAGGTCACATTTCATAGTATCAGGCTAAATTGATAGTTATTATATTTTTATATATTTTTTTGTTGTAATTATATAAACGGTACACAAGTTTGTGTTGTTGAGCAGATTTTAATATCAAAACAATAACAAAATGAGATTTATGAATGAAATTATTTATCTTTGTATAGTCGTATATTTCAAAGAGGTGAACGAATTTGACGATATCATGGTGGCCTTAGGTTAGTATTTATAACTAGTTATATCCAAATATAGCTTTAATGAATCCAGTGCTTCTAGATGATTTAATATATTACGATAGGTACTACAAATAAAAATACACATTAATTTTATAGTAAAAATATGTATTATTGATAGCACGTAGAGCTATTTATAGAATGTCCCTATTTTAATATTGTATGCATACCCTCTTATAAAATGTGTTAATTTGAGCCAAATATTCTGTGTATAATTTTTTATATTTTATGTTGTATTAGAGGGGGATGCCGCAGCAGCTGAATCGTATCCTGGTATGTTATTTTTGTCAATGATCTTTAATACTCAGTATCATTAAACGTTTAAATTGTAAAGCCTTTATTATTCATATATATTTGATATTGCTCATAAATAATGTTTAAAATACACGATGTAAGATTACAATCAACACTTATACTCGAACATAATTCAAATCATTTCAGAGCCAATCAAAAAACTTATTAAGAATTATATGGAAATTGGACATTTACGTAGGTACTTTTTAAACTGATTACAAAACAATAAGACATAAATCTCATACGTTATATTGGATTTATTATTATATTATAATATTATATGCTCTAAAACTATGAATTGGTAATATAATTATATTCATTAAAAAACTAAATGTTATTCAATTAAATTTTTTTATTTTTTTAAAGATTACTATACATCAGTATATTTCTTTTGTGATCGATACCGAAAAGGATTAGAATTTAAAGATAGTAAGTTATATTTTAGTACTATAGCTAATGCACAGTTCACAAGAATTAATTGTGTTTTTTCGTGTTAGATTGAGCTCGTTGACTTCAAAATTGTAAACATGAGTAGTACAAGGTATTTAGATATTAATTAACGATATAAACTGCCTAATATGTCAAATTTTAAATTTATTTATATTCATACAATATTTAGTGTACGGATAATAATTAATAAAAATAGTTCTAATGAGAGGTGAACTGGGTTTTATTCCTCATTTCTATGGTTAAACTCACGTTTTTAAATTGTATATTTTTGTTGTGATTTGTGGTATATTGAAAGTTGTAATATTTGTTGTAATATTAAAAAGCATGTTTTATTTACATCTCAAATTAATATTTTTGGGTTAAATAAGCTTATATTGTAAATAAGACATAGTTGTAAAAGTGTAAACAAATTATTAAAATATCTAATGTAATAAACAAAATATAACAAAAATATAAAATTCTAAAAAAAAATAATGAAAATACCAGGAGAACAATTAATAATTGAACAATAAATTTCGTATTTTTATAAAAAATTATTTTCAATACAATGCAAAATTTTAAAAGCTAAAGTGTTAAATTTTACCTAAACTTATGTGTCATTAATATAGAAATATATGATTGTTAACCTGGTTTAAATTCATACAACCTATAAATAGTTTTGTTCCTTTTATAAATCATAAACTCAGTTAAAATATTTATTGGTACAATGATAAAATGTATTTAATCCATAATCAAAAAATTAAATTAAATCAATTAATATTATATTTTTCAGATAAACTTTCAATTCCATTTAAATATTTTATTGATTCAATTTTATTGACCTGATACATTCATTTATAAATAATATTATTACATAACTTAATATCTACAAGAAAACTATCTAAATGTATTTATTATAATAATAAATTTAATATTATATAATACATATTGTCAATACATTTAAAAATTTAATAAATGTGATAATGTTTCTATATGGAAATACATTTACTTTGTCGTTTGAAGAAACAGGGTGTACATTATTGCTCATTACTCTGTAAATAATTGTCAACTCTATTGGCGAGACATTCAACAGATTAGTAGAGTATACATTTATTTAAATTACAATTTTTTAGCTCATAGACTTTGCGCATGTGCAATTCACTAAAAGGAATAAATACTAACAGTTAAACAAAAATCAAATATAGTACATTTATTTTATATTGCCTGTGCCTTAATTTATTTCCCGTACCACCACGTCCTGGTCCTCCACTTACCTTAGTTTGAAGCTATTTTGTGTTCATGTTGTATATCTTATTGACAAAAGAAGTAGACAATAATAATATGATATGTTATATAATTATATGTAATTGTACTTACCACATGTTAGTACTTACTAATTACTGGTAAATTAAATTTAGAAAAACGCATTTAACTATGTGTTTTGACTTTGTGATCTATAAACTGTGCACAAATGAACTTCAAAAATTTCACAGTGAAATTGTTCTTTGAAAATATATCTACTGCTTACAGTCTGAAATAATTATGAAGAAAAAATAATAATAATATCCCAAAACCAAAATCGAAATCAGAAATAACGTATTCGGGTACAAGCGATTCAGAATGTTGTGCATATAATTTCCTTTTTTCTGAAATGTACTTGATATTTAGCATCTAAAAGAGTTTCCATCTTTCAAAATAAAAGAATTTTAATGAATTTGAAACTGCTATAATGAACTAATTTAAAATACTTTTTAAAATAATTGTTTTTTAGTATAATATTTTGAAACTGTTTGAGCCCATTATTGTATATTTTATACGTGATATAATTTTTAATGTTATTTTTTAGTAAAAACTTATTTAACCTACTGCATTAGGCTTCGTATATAACATCGATTATACATCTTCTTAAATTCAGCCACAGCGGCATATTTAATTTTCAAACTAAATATTTAAGAAGATGAAAAAAAAAAAATTACAGATAATGTACCAACCTAACAGAAGGTAATATGAGTAATATGACCTAAATATGAGAAACGTTGTTTAAAATATTCAATACTTAACTACACTAATTACAAATTTTACAAAATTTTATCAGCAAAAACATTTCCAAGTTTTCGATATTTTGATGAATTTTGTCAAATTTTAAATCTTAAATTTTAATAATAATATCATCTCTATGTTTCTTTAAAAATATTTAGAACTTATTTTTATAACAGCTGAGAATAAATATTTTAATTGTTTTTTTGTAATTTAAAAACGGTTTTATTATATAGACTTACAGATTAGACAAGGTTCTTTTAAAATTTTTGAAAGAAAGAATGTTGTATTGCTCCTCTACAATAAGACACTTTATCAACCATGTGTCTCATAATAATAATAAAATATTTTGCGATCTATTGAAAAATGTATATTCAAAGGTAGTATTTGGAACATAAACTTTTTGAGAAGTGTCGTACAGTCCGTATTATGTACACAACCAAATAATATATTTTACGAATTCCCCAGATTGTTTACCCATCTGCAACAGATACACATGTTGTTATTCTTATTTTCGGAATTACCTTTTAAATACCGTTGTTGAACAACATATACTAAAATTTTGACTTAAACTATTTTAACTCCGATTTAATTATTAATTTACTGCTCTTACCTACAAGTATGGCTGGACAAATTAACATGTTATATTTATGTTTTATGTTCTATATGGTTGGAAATATAGATGCAACATTTACACCATTGGAACGTGAGTATATTCCGTATTTTTTTTTTATTCATTTTATATTACTAAATAGGATTAGATTTCTTTTAATATTGTTTAATGCCCATAGAAAAAACCCTTATCTAGCTTGCTCAATATATTATGCTTACTTTTATTCTATACCTTACTTGAGATTTACATTGGCCGCTATTAACTATAAGTTATAAGTTATGAAATATGACCATTCATAGAAAATATGATATATTCATATTATGTTTAAATATGATAAGAATTAAAATATTACTAGTCAACCCCTTTAACCTATATCAAAATATTAAAAAGTGTTGTCTGTACTGAACTGATTCCCTAAAGTACCAACTAGATTGACTTTTGTACCAGAAATGATGATGTTGATGAAAATCGAAGCACTTATAATGCCCCAAAAGAGATGAGAGATACAATAAAAAACACAAATCAGTGTGCAATCAATACATTCATCTGTCTAGATCGATTTAGAATCTAAAATTGTTTTTTCGAACAATTTTAAGGTATGTTGTAAAAGTGCAGACTGTACGTTTAATAACATTAGTGACTTTCACTAAGATGTCAAATTGTCAACATTCCTGTATCAGATGTTATTCTAACCAATAAATTATATAGAATTTCAGCGTGCCGTCGAATGTTCTAGTAAGTTATTTATTTTACACTAAATGTTTCTGGTATCTCCAAAAACGATTTGAAATGTCTACAAATCCAGTTACATAGTTTTCTATTACCTATATATGAAACAAACACTCATTCAACTCTCATGTTTATTTAAGGGTATACTTTCTTTATTTAAAACAATTAAAACCATAAACACAAGTTACATTGTGAATTTAATGGCTATTAATATGAACATGTTTTAAAGGAGTCATATCACAGACTGTATAAAACTAGATGGTTCATTCTCTATTCCCCTCATTTTATTTTCTATAACGTAAAAAAACAAAACCTATCTCGAAAAAGTGTGACCACAAATTTGGGAAATAAGTATTTATGAGAAATTATAAATAAACAATAATGAGTAGGCTGCACGAACAAAATAATGACTCTAAATCTGTAAAAAATTTCATAATCTATCAATGGACCCACTCAAAAGCGCACAAAAAATGTAATCGACGTAGGCAAAGCAGTTCAGGTTGAGTTTATACAACTACAGCAAATAGAAGAAATATGTTACATATAAAGATAATTATTCGATGTTATTTATGATTTTTTTAGGGCAATTGTTTGGTGCCCTGCTTATAAAAGTAAACTCATGTATGTTCATTTTTTTTCAGTAATAAAAAAAAACTATTTTTTATTGTCTAACTGTGCTAAAAAGTAAATATTTAACTGATAAGCTAGATATTAGCTGATTTAGTATAGCACAGATCAGCTGATTATATAAAATAGAGCAGCGGTTCCCAAACTTTTACGACCACAGCACCCTTAAAAAATTGTTTGTGTTTCGCGGAACCCTAATTTTTAATCCAACTCAACTACAATTTTTGTAAATTAAAAAAGGAAAATCAATTCCTTAAACTCTCAAGTCTAAATAATATTTTAATGATACTGTTAATGACTTTTCATTATTAAACTTAGTTTTAAAAAAAATTTTCAATCAATCATTTTTTTAACAACAAACATTAAATAAACATAATTTTCTCAATAATCTCATACATCTAACGGAACCCTTGACATTGTCCCACGGAACCCTAAGGTTCCGCTGAACACACTTTGGGAAACGCTGAAATAGAGAGCCAAAATACGAGCAATAACCATCTAATCTGAAAGTGCTGACCGTGTCTTCCATAATGACTATGCTATACCATATATTTCTTTGTTTCATTTATTTTTATCCCAAGGGTTGCTTAAGATTTGGTTTTTCATAATTTTACTAATATATTGAGTATCTTACGTGTCAGATTGTTGCATATGCCACACTCGCTGTTACAATCACATGAGCATCAGGCTCTTTGATTGACCAAATTATGTTTTTTTTTTTTTTGCATGAATATTTTTTGTGCTCATTGTTGATCTATTTAATTGTTCTGACCACGTTATCAAGTGATATTTTAGTCCTATTTTTTCAAATTTGTTCAAATTTGTAATTGATTTTTTTTATTTTTAAGTGTTTGTTAGTCTTTTGTCTCTGACATGTATGATCATATTTTTACAGCCTATATTTAGTGAATTGTTTGGTTAGATTTTGAGGTACAATAATTATACACGAGGTAATATGTGGGTAATATGTAGTATCCATGCGAGTTGACCGTCCAAAATTTGCCCCCCCCCCCCCCCACTCAAACTTTTTTTGTTGAGCCAGTTATCTTTCTGAAGAATAAATGAAAAAAACAAAATAAAGGCACTAATCATTATAACCGAGTTGATTATACCATCGAATTATGTTTACATGTTTATAATACATCTAATGGCTATTGAGTTATTCTTATGATACATTAGTTCATTTGAGATCCTAGTTGAATATCATACACTTACCGAGACATCTGTTAGTCCTTGTGATTATTACACTTTATATAATTTGTATGAAATAGGTATTTTGGTTAGATATTCTATCCATTAGAGAAAATTGAATGTCATATGTGAATTATGTTAAATTAATAATTTGAAATTTATTAAACAGTTTATATTCCAACAATGTAAGTACACAATTGATTAGTTGGTTAGGT